GCTACTCAACTATTCAATAAACCTCCATTATTTAACCCAGTCCAGCACAACTCCAGATTTTCAAGTCACCAAATACCTAGGGAATCACTTTTAAGTAGACATTCTCAAACCATAACCATTTCCAAAGAGCCACCCACCTGCATTCAATTCATATATAAGAATTTCATCATATCAAGTTAATTTTTTTCTTTCTGCTGACAAACTCTGTGACAGAAGCATGAACTTATTGACCTTCAGTAAACCTACAGTAAAAGAAATGTCTGTATTGATTATACCAACAAGCTGAATCTAGCTTTAATATCAGATATCAATTCAATATTGAATATCTCTGAGATCACATGAACCCAAAACCCATTCTGTCTAACTTTTCCTATACTTAGAAATATTTAATTTGTAAGTACTTACTTTAAAGTCAATTAAATAGAGCTCATCTACAAGTTAATTTTTGTATAAAGACAGAACCAGAGATCTCAGTTTTTCCACTTGAGTTTTTGACAAAACCTGTTGTTTGTTTTTTCCCTGAGAGCCCAGGTAGGTCATTTACATTTCATCTCACCAGAAAGAGAAATGCATGTTCTTCCTCTAACTGCTTTTACAAAACCCAACTATCTTGGGGTTTTCCATGATTCTTTTCCCCCCTAGTTCTGAAATATCCACTTCAGCTTAAAGAAATAACAGTAATAGGCAATAATGTGTGTGTGTGTGTGTTTGTGTGTGTGTCTGTGTATGAGTATAATTTGCTCATATTCACATACCTCACTTTCAGCAAAACCAGGAAGAGAGAACAAGATTTGGACACAGGTACTGAGATACTCACCTCCCCCCACCAAGATAAAAGCCGAAGTAATTGCAAAAGGCCCACTTTGATACAATAATAGAGTAATTTAGGGATCATTGTTCTCCAGACCTCAGGGAGTACAATACAAAATATCAGTTTCTTTCATTTATGGGAGCGTAGCTGAAGATCTCCCAGTTTTGCAAAATATACCCTAGGGAGACAATAAGATGGAACAGAACTCCGATAACCCACACTTAATTACTCACAGCTGATGTTATCAAATATCAAGCAAACAACAATTCAAAACAGTCTCTCAGGGTCACAGTTCCCTAGCCCCCAAAAGAGTGACTCCCAGTCAATGCCCCATCAGTCCAGAAGGCGAGAACCCCAATCAATGCCCCATCAGAGATGAAACTGAATGAATGACCAAGGCTAGAAAGGGAGAACCCCAATCAATGCCCCCCCCCACAGGCGAAGTCAATGCAATGGGGGGGGACACCCTGGTGCTGTGCGAGCCAGAGACATCTCAACGGGCCAGTACAGGTACTGATACACACACGCATAAACAACCAACACAGTCCGACAAACAAAAGATCAGATGAGGTGTAGCCCCCCAAATTCCACTTTCATTACCAGACGGAGGCTTCCAGAGTGGCCTGGCTCCCAAAAAAGAATGGACCCAGAGTGGCTCACTTCCTGGAACAGAATGAACCCAGGTGGAGGGGTGGAATTTTCCCATCCTGTGCAAGCCAGAGTGGCTCACCCTAAAACAATACACATGAAAAGACATACAACAGATACAATCAGAGGAGGTGTAGTCTAAAAAATGCCACTTCCTCTCCCAGATGGAGGCCCCCAAACAGACTGGCCCAGCTCTGGAAAGAGAACAGACCTAGAGTGACACACAATGAGCCCAAGTGGAGTGGAGGGAATTCCCAGCCTGTGTAAGCTGAAGAGACTCACCCCTCAGCGACACCAAATGTGGACCACAGCTCCGGATGTTTCTCAGCTCCAAAAAGCCTCGTGGGGGTGGGTAGCCAGTGCCTGTCAAGGAGAGTCCCTCCCAGTTCCCAGGAGCGAAATGAGCTCCAGTGGCTGTTGGGGACCAAGGGACGGGGCTTCCCCTACCCGTGGTGGACCAGCCACAGGCACAAACTCCTGGTTGACGTCACCAAAATTGTTACTGAACACAAGTTCGTGTGCCGGATGCACCGTGAGGCCAAAAACTACCAAAACGTTGGAGTCTGTAGCAGAGAAAGGTTTATAGCTGGGCTGAGCAAAAAGAACGTGTACCTCATGCCCAAAAAAGCCTTGAACTCCCTGAAGGGTTTCAGTTGAGCATTTTTGAAGGTGGCTGAGGGAGGGGCACCCCAGGGTCTGTGATCAGCTGTGCACAATTCTCTGACTGGTTGATCAATCCTTAGGGACCAGAAGGCCTGGTGGCCATGTGCTTAAGATCAAGTAGTTAATTTCTTCCATTTGATGGTGGTTTTTAGCATCTGAAAAACTCAGGAAATCTTCATGAGATACTGCGATCTGGGTACTTCAGGGAAGAGCTACAGCAGAGAATAAGGGAGGGGTCTATCCCTGGAGGGCCCTGTAGAGTCTTGCTCAGATACACTAATACATACTACACATGGGTGAGCCTTGAGAACTTCATGAAGGACCACATGTTGTATGATTCCACTTACATAAAATGTGCAGAACAGGCAAGTTTAGAGAGACAGTAAGTTGAGTAGTGGCTGCCTAGGGCTGGGGAGGGCAGTTGGAGTGCAACAGGTGAGGGGTGTAGGGTTTCTTCTAGGGGTGATAAAATATCCTGACATTGATTGTGGTGATGGCTGCACAACTAAAAACCAATGAGTTGTGCAATTTAAGTGAATGAGTTGTATGGTGTGTGAATTCTCTCTCAATTCCACTGGTGAAAAATACTGGAGTACATCATACTCTAGAAGCAATGCCAGGGCTCATCTGGCTCTGTTGCTAGTTCTGTGACCTTGGGCAAATCACTTCACCAGGTCAGTTTCTTCACCTGCAAAATGGGGAGAATAAAAGAAACTGCCTCATAGGGTTGTGATAATTCGATAAATTCATACTATATTAAACACCAAGCCTGCCACATGGTGAGTTCTATTAGTAAAAGTGAGCTCCATGAAGGCTAGGGTTGTTTCTCTTTTTGCTAATTACTATCCGCCAGTGTTTGATACCTAATAAACAATAAAACACCTAGAAAATTAACCATTATTTCCCAGTTTCAGGTTCTACTGTTGCAAGTAACTAAATTCCAACTGTCATGCCCAACTTAAACTTCCTTCTGTCTCATGATATTCAGAAACCACTGTTCGCTATCTCTGTATATCTATCCACCTCTGACAAGCCAGTACATAATAGGACAATTGTCCAAAACAATTGTCTCTCTCTTCATCATTTATGCTCTGCTAAAAGTCATTTACTGGATGCCTGTTATTTTTGCCTGCTCAGCATCCATGATCTTGATAACTGCAGTTTTCCCTTGGGAAACTCTTTCCTATTGCATGATATTTTCATGGGACTGCTTTTTAGGGAGTCTTTTCTGCCTTCTGGATGAAGGTGGGCATGTGATCTTAACCAGGTCAGTAAGACTCCCTAGAATTTCATTCTTGAGCAGCCTGACATGGAGACCAAAAAATGTGCCCCTTTCTTTTTATGGTTAAATCCTGAAAAGGCTGTTCATTGGTACTTGAGTGGAGAGGTTTGATATTTTGGACAAGGGAGCTTCTTACTGGAATCCCAGAAACTGGGAAACAATTGAGAGCTATAGGGAGGCAGTAACTGTGAAATTAGGTGGGCAGTGGAGGGGATATGTGACCAAATATCCTGGGATACTTAAATGATATAAAACTGTATTTTCTATTAGCCAGGCCAGACACATGAAGATGCTAAAGGGACTCGTGGATGGTGAGAGAGTAGTGGAAATTCAATACTAGTTAGAAAACATGGGCCAAGCATTGGAGCTTGGGGTTGGGGTGAGCTTAACACTGAGGCCTGCAATGATGAGGTGGATGTTAAGGAAGGCTGGAGCACAATATTGGCGCGATAGTAATAATCCAAGTATTTGAGGAACAATGCAATGGATCTTGAAATAAGGGGATCAAATAGGGCTGGATATTTAGAATATTGGAGCCAATGATCCAATCATAGAAGCAAAAGGATCTAATAATGGTATAATCATGGGAATCAGATATTGGAATTAGGGGAGGAAAATGGAGGCCTGGATTTGGTGGCACAGAAAGGGTCATGATATTTGTGGGACAATGTACCAAATGTCGAGGAATAAGGAACTTTGGTTCTGGGCAAAGGAGGGGGGGAATTCTACTATCGGGATTAACTGAGGGATAATATTGGAGGCTCACATCCTGAGAAGTCACTGAAGGATTGCACGAGGGTTAAGAGGGGTTGTGTGAATGGGAAACAAGGGACCAAATGTTTGGAGAACACTGGACCAGATATTGGGATTCAGCGGTTAGTCAATATTAAAGGAGAGTAAAAATCCAATATCCAAGATTGAAAGCTGGAAAAACAGTGAGACGTACATCCTGTGGTACCTCAGAGACTTAGTTTCGTAGAACAGTGCCACTGACTATTGGGGGGAGGTTATTGAAGTACATGGTGGTTGCAGGGCACAGGCTGGCATTGGGAAACAGCAGACGTCATACTTGTGGTGCTGAAATAAAGTGTAGAGGGGAAAGATATTAAGGCGTGTAGCGATATGGGATTATGGGAAAACAGAAAAGGGAAACGACAAAGCCCTGATGGGAGAAAACACTGAGCTTATAAAGATACAAGCTGGGTGAGTGGGGGCAGATTCTAGAGCTCAGTTGGGGGACTGCCCCAGGGCAGAAGTGTCTTGGTGATGGAAGCCAGCGGGGACTAGATACTGAGGGGCAGTGAATAATGCCACAATGGAATGGTGACCGACCTGCTGTCAGAGGATAGCAGAACTGGACATTGGTGTGCTGTCCGGAACTGACATGGAGAAATTTGCCATTTAGAAATTTGACATGGAGAAATACAGCCATTGAGGGGAGGGAGATGCTGTATCTTGGAGAATGCTGGACAATGGGATGAAATTTGTTTGGAGGGACAGTTGGGATATTGTGAAGATTATGGAACGAAACTTGGAGCAGAATAGGAAGTTTGGTGGGCCCACTGTGTAGTTGGAAATTAAAAGAGAACAGAATATAAAAGAGACTGACGAGGGAAAAGATTTATTCCATCAGAGGTACCATAATTACAGCCATTTCCAAGTAAATGCAGTAATAGAGTGCTATGTTTTGACATTGAACATTCACGAGTGAACAGAGATGGCAGGTAGGTGAATAATGCCAAGGTGGGTTTTGGCATTAGGCCTTTTGGGTCTGAGATGATGACAAACCACTAAAAGTCGTGTAGTTTCCCAGCACGGAGTCTTGTCAATGAGAAATTCCCCCACCCCCTTCCTCTTGGGTCCCAGAGCTCCGGAAGGGTTCCCAGCGGCTGAAGCTGCCGCGTAAACCCCCAAAGATGCCATGACGTCCCTTCCGTGGACCCCAGCCAGGGCCCCAGACTCTGTCCCGCACAGCACCGAGCTACAAGCCCACGCCCCAGGAGGTCTGCAGCCGCTGGTCCCACGCCGTCCAGGACACGAAGACAGCGTGGCTTCCTGGCAAGACGGCTCCTTCAGCTATGGGTCTCGGCTCGGCTGCGACATCTGTAGCTGCGTCAGAGCCTAAAGCAGGGAAAAGCAGTCTCGCTCAGCTCAAGCCCCTAGGGAGGCGGCGCGCTACTCCGACAATCGCCACTTACCGTGTCCTGCGCCACGCATTGTGTCCTGCGTCACTCGTGTCCTGCGCTCCTGCGGCATCCACTGCGCAGTCAAGCCGACCAGTTCCCGCGCTCCGGACTCTGCGCCAGCTCGGGGGCACAACTGGCTCCTCCGGGGCAATACAGTATCAAAGGGCTCTGGCCCAGCCCGGGCCAGGGTGCCGACCCTCCCCGCGGGGCCCTCTCCAGAAGGGCCCAGGGCTGGCGCATCCCTTAAAGAACAGGTCGGGCTCGCTGTGCGCGCTCCCATCTCACAGAGAGGTAGGGTCCAGGGACATTAACCTCATTATAACTGGGATTCAGTCACACCCCGAGATTCCAAACATTGGGGTCTGTGTCCCCTCCCCTAATCCCCAGGTGTAAAAAGACCCTTATTTCATTAGCGGCAGCTGCTTTTGACGTTCCTACTGATGGACGGTTAGACAAAGGGAATGAGAAGCAGAGAAGAAAACAAATAAGCATCGAAAGCTACATGAACGGGGTGCAGAGCCTCTCTAAACACAAAATGCTGAGCCCTTCTTTTCCTTCCCCTTCCCCTCGGCCCTGCGCCCACCCCAGCCTACCCTGGTCACTCAGGCAAGCTGTAGATGGATATAGGTAAAGATGCAGGAGGTGATGGAGAAGGCGATTGCCGCGTAGATAAAGATGGAGAGGTGCGGAAAATGGTCGAGATAGCAGCCTTCGTCCAGTGGAGGTGTCTCCTCCAGGGGCGAGGAGCGCGCTGCGGCCCTGGGGGGCTGCCCGGAGCGGGCCCCCTGCGCCCTCCCGCCTGCGCGCCGACCAGCCTTCTTCCCTGAGGCCCAGGCCGCCGACTTGGGCCCGCGGACAGCGGGGGGATCTTCTGGGGGAGGCTTGTCAAACAGGCCTTCGGAGTTAGCGTCGGGGTCTTGACAAAGCTGCTCGGTGTCCCACGATTTGCACTGAAAGAATTGGTCAGCCATTGACGAGGAGCACGGAAAATGGCTCTGCTGGTTCTGGGTGGTCAGGTCCGGGCCGGGTCTGGGTCGGGTAGGGGCGCAGTGGGTGGTGGCCCCGGCTGCGGCTGTATTTCTACTACCCAGGAGGGGGCGGCAAGGGGCGGAGTCAGCAGGGGGGAGCGGAGGCGGGGGAGGGGAGGCTCTGCAGGGTTTCCTCCCCCTGGCTCCTCCGTCAGCCCCCAGCCTGTTGCAGAGGTTGGCTGTCCAGATTCCAGCTCCGGGATGCTCCAGGGCCCGCGCCTCTGGAGTCTCTGCGCAACTTCTTTTGTTTCCATGGCAACCTGATGCGAAGAGCAGAAAGGAGGGAATGCGAGCTGCTAGCTGGGACCCAGGGATTCAAAAAGCGCTCTTTGGGGGCGAAAGCAGCTAAAATTCAGCCGACCAGGATCTTGGCTCCTCACAGCTTCCCAGGGGTGGTTATTTCTATTTTTAAAAGAAATACTGTGGGGTCTTTTTTTTTATTTAAAAATTTAATACGTGAAAAAACTAATACATAATCTTTGTAAAAAACATAAAAGTTATAAATCACTACAAGCAAAAAGAGGAACAAAATAAAGGCTCTCATCATATCAAGGCCCAGAGGTAGCTCAGTTAACATGTTGGTGCTTTTCTTCCCCTCTTACTTTTCCTTTCTTCTCACACCTGCATCTGTATCTGTATCTGTATGTGTACATCCTGGGTTTTCTCGTCCTGTTGCTCACCCACAAAAGCAGGGTCCTAACCTTTCAGGCGTCTCACCTATGATTAGATCATCAGGAACAAGTACTTTAAAAAGATGCCTGACCAGAACCGGTGCCCTGCCCGCCTCTACTCAGATTCCTCTTGGCCTCCTAGACGCCCTTCTCTGGTTTCTGTTTGTACTGCCACAGACTGCTGGGTACCACCATCTCCTGGAACCTCTGTTGCACCTGAGGTTCCGAGGCTGGTTGGTGTTCCTGTGTGGAGTGTGGTGATGGTGGGCATTAAAAAAATGTCTCTGATTTATTTTGCTGTGTTTTAAAAAAAATAGGATTGTAACAACAATCAAATTAAATAAGCAGTGTTTCCATAATAATGGTGCTGCATATCCCTGGGGGTAAATGAGATGATTTTAGGTGGCACAGGATCAATATTTTAAAAGAATGGCTCTGATTTATTTTGCTGTATTTTAGAAAAAAATAAAACTAGCACATAGAATTCAAAATTTCCTAGATATTACTGCCTGGACCAAGTCTAAAGCTTTTTAAGTGAGTGAAAGTTAAAGAACAGAGATTAAGCAATTAAACTATACACACATAAGGCAAAAAAAAAAAAAAATCAACAAGCCAATTTTAGAAATGCCTGAAATTGGGAAATGCTAAGACAATGCATATGAAAATAGCCTTAAACTGTGCAGCTCTTTACAAATATGAACTATTATTACTAAAAAATGCTCTGGCTTCCCTGAAGATAATGGCAACTTCAAGGGGAAATGGAAGGGGAAGTTTAATTCCCCCATAATCCCCATCAGTCCCCCATTCTTTGATATGGGCAATGGGTGTTTTCTTAGTTTTATCTAAAGTGTTATGTGATGTAAACCATTTCAAGTTCCTGCTGCTTCATTGCAACCAGATTGATTGCTTTGAAGCCCCTTCACAGAAATTCTGAGGCCACCTCTGTACTTAAGTCAGTATTTGGCTCCTCAATTTCTCCATCTGGCCTCAAGACGAAGGGACAAAGAATTTTTCAAGTTGCAGACCAGGAGAGCATGAAAGCATGGGTATGGAGGGTGGTGTGGAAGAGCTGTGTGTGAGGCTGAGATGTGGCGAAAGCCACACAAACCCACCCATGGGGCTGGGAGGCTGTGGAGTAGGCAGTGGAGGCACCTCGGGAGCAGGAGGGAGTCCTGGGTCAGGGCCGTGCAAGGGTGTGCTGAGGAGGGGCTGGGGGAAAGTGAAGGGTGCAGGTGCTAGGGGTTCTCTGGCTACTGCGGGGACCCATGGCATATTGAGAAGTTGGGAGGCTCAACAACAAAGACACAGTGTCCTGAGGACACTTTGTTAGTTTCCACCTGATCCATCTATACAGAAATGAATGTCGTGCAAAACAACCCTGGCCCCAGGCCAGGGCATCTCTGGGGGCTCTAACTCTCAGAGAGAACTTGGCCAACTCAGCACAAGGCACCTTGGCACACTCTGCCTGTGCCCAGCAGTGACAGAACTAAGTCTTCCCAAGGCCAGGGAGCTCAGGGTCCTCAGTAAGCCCTGAAAAGGCAGATACCTGGAGGTCCCAAGCTGCAATCTCACTCTCCACTTGGTGCCAGAGTGTTCCAGGAAAAATCTCATGAATCTAAGGCCCAGAGCTAGAATCCACTAAAGGTCTTGAACAGGCAAAGGCTGCCTTTAGCACTGCTTCTGGGACCCATTCAGAACACACATCCTTCTCAGAGGTGAGAGAACTAGCCTCTTCCAAGAGGATCTCTGCTCCTGGGCTGAGATGGAGATCTCCTTGATCTATTCAGGAGGATCTTTCTGTGAAAGAAGGATACCCTATCTGAATGAACATGAATTAGGGATCTGAGTCCACCAGGCCAAAGGCCAGCTCTGAACAAGTGTCAACTCACCATGTTGGTGATATCCCCTGGGAGGAATTCAATAATAATAGTAATAATAATAATAACAATAATAGCAACCAACAGCCCTGCCTGTGCTAGGAGCTGTGCTCAACATTTTTGCAGAGATGGTCCCTGAATTAATTCTTAACGCCATGAGTCAAACACCAGTATTTTCTCCAATATTCAAACGAGGAAACCAGTAATACTATGTGTGACCTTAGGTCAGTCCTTTCTCTTGACAGTGTCAGTTCCCCATTAACAAGAGAAGGAATTAATAGTACTACAGCGGGTGAGGGGAGGTGAGCTCCTTTCCACATTGCCAGTGCTGAGAAGCTGGTAGCACCTCTGAGGGAAGCAATTTAGCAAGGCATAGAAAGTCATGAGAATATTCATGTCTGTTGATACAATCATCCCACCTCTCAGTATTGATTTCAAGACAATGATCTAAAGGATAAAGAAAAGCTCTCTGCAAAAAGATGTGTACAGTTTATCATGGCAAAAAATCGGAGCAAACTCAGTGTCAGAACAAGAGGAGAATAGTTAATTACATGATGGTGCATTCACTGCATGGACTCATACACAACCCTCAGAGAGGTTATTCTGAAAACTCTTAAGTAGCTTGGGGATGCTTGTGACGACCTAATTCAAAGTCAAAAAAGGAAGATTTAAAACCACAGGTGCTAGGATGACAACAAGATGAAAATGTGTTCCTGCAGAAGAAGGCTGGAATGGGAAGAGTAAAGATGATCATTTTTGCATTGTTTGGATGGTGAGATCACGGGGCAATTTCTTTCTCATTTTCCCCAACTTCGTGTACCATTGTTATATTATTTTTTTGTGCACCAAAATCAATTAATAGTTGAGAAAATCAAAGCAATGGATCCGGTGGCCACTTGCAGGATTAACAATACCCTGCAATGTTCTGTCGGTGCCCACGCAGTCTAAGGACTTTACCCGAGTGTCTGGATGGCCCCAGATTGCCTAGCAACCACCTGCTCAATAGCAGTTGCTAGGAAACCAGAGACAGAGCCAGGACTCCTGACTAATAGTCAGTGTCCATACTACTGCCAGTCTCCTCCCCTCAAGTTCTCTCCCTAGGGTCCTGTTCCTACCTAGCCACTCCGCCTCCCCTCCTGCTTTCCCCCTCCAGGTTCCTCATCTACCTGCGGCTAACCTGCCAGCAGCACTCAGTGAGTCCCCACAACCACAGAGCCTACCACGGCACAGGTGACCACAGGTTCCAGAGGACCAATTAGTGCCTGGATGGGAGTATGTACATGGTTTAAAGCTTAAGGGCTCTTATCTCATCATTAAGACAAGCATTGCCTGCAGCCTTTACGAGGCCCTAGCCAGCCCTTCTCCCCTTGTAGAGTGATTCTCTTAGGAAAGGCATTGAGATCAGCTCAGAAAATTTGAGTTCTCAGCAATACAGGCATGTGTCTGAAATCGTGGCCACAATGCCCACCTAGTTTTACCTTGGATGTCTGAGCCACAGCTGCTCCATTTTGACTTTCAAATGCACTTCCCTCCTCAAGGCCTAAGCAAATGTACAACGCATGTCTAAGAGGCCACAAAACAGGCTGCTTTGGTCAGTAAAGTTGAAGTCAAACCATACATAAGCCAGAATGACTTCCCCATCCCTCAGTAGGTGCAGGTTTTTCTCTCATTTCCCCTTTTGATTATGAATCTTCCAATAGAAACCATTGGTGATCAAAATATCTGTCCCTCAATGCTGGGTAGTGGCTCCTGCCCAGGTTGAGATCACGTTCCTTGGTCCTAGGCCTCCTTTATATTTGCCTAGTTATACATGTTGGGGGAAAAGTAACATATAAAGTAAACAGACTCAGAGAAACACTCTACAGACTGTACATTTTATTACTTACACCCCATTGTTACACAAACATTGTGCATGTGCTTTCAGCAATAGACTTAAAGCAAGCATTATTATACATCGTGAGCAGTTATACTCTGTGCCAACTCCATTAGAGAATTCCCTTTCTACCCTAAACACTGTGGGCAATATTGCTAGGGAGTCAACATTTGGTAAACAGTTCAATTAGAAAACAGATTAAAAGCCTGCAACACTTCAGACAATCCAAAAATTATAACCATATTCACTCAACCCCATGCAATCAGTCCCCCTCACAAACAGATTCATAAAATCAGGTTTTCAGCAGACTTCTTAAACACCTTACCCAGCCGAGCAGTATGATTGAAAAGAAACCTGTGCTTGTCATAAAGTCCTTTCTATGCATCTTCTTGAAGGTGAAGCAGTTCTGAAAAGCATCAGCTTAATCGTCCACGAATGACAAAAGACCACAAAAGGCAAGGTAAAAGATCTGATTATAATGTTTTTGACAAAAAAGCTTATCAAGTTGCTGTGACCTACAACATCCCAAGATAACAATCAGAATCTTGACTGATAACATTATACCAGGACACACCTGAATTTCGTATAATTTGTAGAATGTTTATATTAACAACATTTATCCACACCGTGTAATCCGAGGAGGCTTATCACTCATTTGACTATACTTCCCATGTAATTCAACACACCAACCAATCCTAGTTAGTTTAATATTTTTCTCTGAGAAGTCTCAGGGGCCCTCTGAAGTAGCCCAAAGTTAGCTGAAAGCAAAAGAACTTTAATTAGAGCTTTAAAA